AGCTGGGACAGCTTACCCCAGCTGACCCAAGGGATGTCCCTGACCATATGACGTCATGCTTAGTGCATAAAGCTGGGGGAAGAAGAAGGAAGGGGGGATGTTCGGAGCCATGGTGTTTGTCTCCCCAAGTCACCGTTACACATGACAGAGCCCTGCTTTCCTGGAGATGGCTGAACACCTGCCTGCCAATGGGAAGTGGTGAATGAATCCCTTATTTTACTTTGCTTGTGTGCGTGGCTTTTGCTTTACCCATTAAACTGTCTTTATTTTGGTAAAAGTGAGTTTTCTCACTTTTACTCTTCTGATTCTTTCCCCCATCCCACCAGTGGGGAAAGAGCAAGTGGCTCTGTGGTGCTTAGTTGCTGACTGGGGTTAAACCACAACAGATGCCCAAAGGACTAGGTACACAAAAAACTTGCACAAACATTAAAACATGAGCATTAAGTGCAGAGATAAAATAGAGAAGCAGGTAGGATTCAGAGCTAGCATACAGGGCAGGTCAAATTAAACCAGTTCAAACAGCTTGGGGACCATATCTGAAGATTATACAAAGGAAATGGAGCTGAATTAAGCAAGCATGGGATAATGACATCCTGTTTTGTGAGAACATAAACAAAGACTTCCAAAAGTAAACACCAATACCTTCCCAGAACATAGAAAATAAATCAGTTGTTCATGGGACAATGCCTTATTCATTTTAGTAACCTGAAGAACAAAAGCTGAAGGTGGAAGCTGCAAATTAGCTAAACACCAGTTCTGAAAGTTTGCAGGTTTACAGCAAGTATTAAAAGAATTTGAAGAGGAAAATAATATCTAAGGGGAGTACTGAATCAAGTATGAACACCCCCTTTTCAAATAATGCCTTTTATCTTCATTTTAAGTCTCTGAAAAAACACAGCTAAGTGACAAACAAGAAGAACAAAGACGCAGTTGGCAGTCAAACTGCCCCAGGACTGCCTTGAGCTGAGGTGCTGACATAGGTTTTTGGAATAACTGGTCAGCATGGATCCCCCTGGCCAGCCACACCCTTGTGCAGCCACCATCAGTGGCCAGCCTCTTGATTGTAAGCCCCTAAGATGGGAGTATTCAGAAAGGGTCTTTTCCACTCAATTCATTCATATGCCCTCCTGCAGAGCCGAGTCTAGAATCAAACATCATTGCTCCATAGCAAGCATAGGGTCAATGAGCAAATATGACATGGGACAGGAATCTATGTGGAAATCAAATCAAAGATAAATTAACCTGAATCCAGGAAAAGAACAAGCAGGGGGCTAGTACACTAGCCTACAGTAGTACAGTGTTGGGGAAATTGCCACAACAGATGCAGATGAACGCTGCTGGGGTCCCTGACTTCAGAAATGTGGCGGATCCATCATGTCCCACCCATAACCAGGAGGGCTGTCTCAGTGGGAAGGGAATGAGACAACAGACTTATTTACAACACCTTGCTGTGACCTCCCCGCTGCAGGCTGCTAAAAGACAGTTTGCCCATTTCAGCCAGAAGGCTTGACTTTCTGCCACATCCCCTTCATATTTCCTGCTTCTGAGACTTTCTTTCCAGGTCCATTGAGCCATACCTTCTTCATTGCCTTTCTAATATTTTATTAGACAGGTGTGATGATCTCTGGATGTATTCGGCTGTTCAGCAGCTGCTCAGGATTGTTGAGTAATAGTTCTGGCAGTACCTGAAACCTTAAAAAGCTCAGTGATGAAAATCACAGCTCTCCTAAGCAGAGCAATGGTGCCTGGTGGTGAAATAGTGGTCATATTCTTCTAGAGCTTCTGTGCAGCTTCTCTTTGTAATGTTCTGTTCTCCATCTCCATGGTGGCCAGGAGAAAAAATGACTTAAACTGAAACAAGGAAGATTCAATTTACACTTTGGAAAAAAACTTCCTCTGGGCATGGATAGCAAAAAAGGTAGATTGCTTGGAGATGGTGTGGCACCATCATCTTGGAGGTCTGTAAGACCTGGTTAGATCTTTCTCAAGTTCTGAGCTCTAGATGGATGCAAGATCTAATGTACCTTTAAAATGCAATCATCCAGCTCAGTTTTACACTTCTACAGAACATCTTACTTGTTTTTTTATACAGATGGGCATTGCATAAATTCATGGATTTGATATTCTGCACATGCAAATCCTCAAATCTAGTTTTCCTCACCTAACTTATAGGCCTAATCTTTCTTGCTTTCCATGAGACTTAGGCTTTTAAAAACAGGACTTCACATTGAACCCAGACTACTGGGGAGCAGTCCATGGTAAAGATGGTATAGATAACTGATGTGAACAGATAGAAAATAATATGTTTCAAGATTAAATTAAGATCCTTCGTTATGTCTAAACTGGTGGACTCAGGCACAATTTCAACAACTTTTTTTTTTTTTTTTTTTCAATTTCAACCTCAGTTAACATTTGGAAAATGTTTTTCATAAGGCAACAAAATACATGTCCAAAAGAGCTATTCTTTTTAAAACTGAAAAATCTTCTTAGTATTTTTATAGCAATATAGTGGAAGAAATATGGATCCACTCAGGGGAAAGGAAAGTGTGGAAAGCCAAAGTGCCAGAATTGCTGGCAGATTCTGATACCTTAATAATACTTCATCTGTTCACCTTCCACTGAAGTCAACAGGCTGAGCTGAACTACGGAACCATACAGTATCCAAACTTCACGGAACACATAACAAACTAACACTACTGCCCTTCACCTGACTCCATTCATTCTCCCTTTACCCTTTCAGATATATCATCTCTTTAATGCTGAACACATTGTGAATTATTGTCTTGCAGCATCAGTAGCACCTCTCCATAGGCATCCTAGTCACAGAAAGAGATTGAATTTCCCAGTCAATTAATCTATCCCTCTGCTTTGTAAAAACCAAAAGTTTTCCCAAATGGTCCCTTTCATCAATTTACCAAATAAAGTTAAGTTCCTTGTACTGCATCTCTGGAAAATGTTGTTCCAGAACCTCACTTTCATTTGCTTTATTTGGATAAAGACAATACTGCATTATGTGAGATCATAATGGCAGCTCCCTTTGAATGAGTTCAGCTGGCTATTTGCTTAGGTTGTTTTTATAGCAACTACTTGTAAATCTCAATCATAAAAAGCTGCAGTACCCTGGAAAAATAAGGTTTACAGCTTGCACTCTGTTCTGTAGGCAGACAGTCATGGTCCCCAGGAAGCCATTTTGTTGTTGTAGTTTACTTGAAAATTAACTGAACAGCAGTATGAAAGACTTCTGCAGTCCCTTCCACATCCTTTGACTTACTTGAATTCCTCCTTCCAACAATGCCCTGCTGTCTCTTACATAGAGCAAAGGTGCAGGTATTTTCTGTTAACTCTGGCTCTCTGTGCTCTTCCCCTGTCTGCAGATACAGAGGATTCATGAAGAAGTAAATCCACAACTTCATGCCAACCTTGTTGGCTTTATTTAAAAAAAATTGATAAAAGTGCTTTCAGAAACAAAATAAACATCTTAACATGCGCTTTGTGTCCCCGTGTGTGACAACTCAAAATCAGACTGTGCTTCATGCTACCTCTGTGCCTTCATGATAACAGCCTCTTTTCTACATGGGCCTTACAACAAAGCAAACAGCAACAGGCCACTTTGGGTTGTGGATCAGAAGCTAGCAGCTGCATGGACCCCTTCTTAGAACTTCTGCTTTCAGCTGCCTTCTCTTCTTGAAAAGACTCAAAAGCATCTTAGCCTGTATGTTATCCAAACATCTGTCATAATGACAAAGAGTCACACCAGTCACATTTCTCTTTTTCCCCTCCAAGTGTAAAAAAATCTCCCCACACTTCTTCCATTTTTTGCCTTTCTCCAGCTTCTTGTGGAAAATGCCATATACTCCTACTTCTGGTGAGCACAAAATGAAAGACAGCGTGCCCCATTTTTCTGCAAAAGACCTTAAAATCACAACTTAAATCTAGTTTATTGTTGACCTCAGAGACAAAGCTTTTACCCTCCTTTTAGTTCCCGAGATGGCTCGCAAAACCAACAAAACCAAGTAGCAGTCACTCACAGGTACAATGTCCTGAAATAGTTGTGCCTGGAGACCACAAGCCAGTGGACTGCTATGGCCCCTGGTGGGAACAAAAGTACCGATTCTGGTCCACCATCTCAGAGAGGGAAAAGTCATCTGTGATAGATGTGCTTTCTGGAATATGAGCTGTGGTAAAGAAATAAGAGCCTGTGAAACTGAGACACACAAAATATCCTGTGACTTAGTGTCTGAGTCTATATAATAATGCTTGTAAACTTGGAGGATTTCTGAGGAGACCTGAAAAGTGCACTTGAGTTGCAACCTTAGTTTAGCAGGAATCTTAGTGGGCAAAGCACCATTGGCAACATCTCCAGCAATAACCAGTGGCCATGATGCAATATAGATTTCTAGATTTTCTTCCTGTTACTAGATTCAAATGGCGATCGCCTGACTACATTTAAGATCCTTACTGGTCAATGCCTGAAAATCCATTTTTACGCTTACTCATTTAATCCCTTTAACCCTACTTGATGATGACAATTTCACCTGTTGAAACTATGTAGCACTACACTTAAACTCTAGAAAAAAATCATTCCTAAAGTTTTGTCCAATAGTGTGAATTTTCTTGAACACAAACCCCCAAGGTCAGGTGATTTTATAGTCCTGTGTATAGCCTTTTTTTCTGTGTCTACATGCGAATATTAATTCCCTACAGAAATTGATTATTTCTGGTCATGAACATTCATATGTTAAAGAGGAAGAGTGATAAAAACTTAAAGGACAAACTGGAAGTACACAGGCTCTTCCTTCTGCTAATGGCAGGCAAAAGATGCGGCTGTGCTGCTGCCATGGCAGCGCGCAGCTCGGAAACATCAACAGAAGTGGTTCTAGGGTGTCCCCGCATCACCAGCCCTCAGTTGCTTGGCAGAGCAGACAAACTGGGCTGCTGCTTGCTCAGCTGGAGTCCTACCTGAGGAAAAGTGTGAATCCCTGCTACAGGGGGAACGTTACCTGCTGCAGGTAGCAAAAACGTGCTGCCAACTTACCATCCTGCCAAGAAGGAGGCCCTGTACAGCGCTGCTTCTCAGGTAGTTGGTCCTTTCTGTCCTTTACACCATCACTTACGGACTTTCTGGGTATAGACTGAAAAAGCAATAAATGATGAAAGTTACGTTTTTTCTCAAGAGCCCATTAATACAGTCAGATATAAGACTATTGTAAATAACTGCTCTACTCATCCTTCGTAAGGAAATGGGAAGCCTTTAAGTATTTTTGAATACTGCAATGATAATATTTTGGGTGTGATTTTATCTACAATGTAAAAATGACAATGCTGATATTGTTCTGTCAAACATCCAATTGTCTGTGGTATCGCTGTATTTAATTTTACTAATTTAAATATTAACAACGTTCTAAGTTGCTATTTTGGTATAGTAACACCCTAAACATATTATACTGGCCAGTCTGAAGTTGCTAAAGAAGTAAGAAAGATTCTAAAAGTATGTTTCACAAGACAGTTTAGATTACAAAAAAAAAAAATCACTAATTTAGCAAAGAAGAGAACCCTCCCACGTGAACTTAATTTTTAAAAAGTTCAGTTAGATTTAGTTAGTCCTTTATAGGTAGACAACATAATGAGTAGGATTATGTAGAAAGACAGAAGCCCCAGAAAAGAGGAAGTATTTTCTGCTCCTACAAGTTACTTTATACACTATTTTTAGTAAGCATTTAATCTTAGGCATATGGAGAGAATATTTTATGGTAAGTACTACACTTTTTAAAAAATTATAAAGCTTTGGAAAAGCTAATCTCCCAAAATAGCTATTTTTATAATGTCAATTACTCAATCAATCCACTGCAAGCAAAATCAGAAGACCTCTCTTTTCACCTTTGCTATCAGGAGATACAGGTATTTTAAATTTGAAAAAAAAAAAAAAAAAAGAATTAGCTTGCCACAAGCTACAAACCACTCCTATGAACCATAGCTTTCACCTTGCTTCCCCGTGCACTGAAATGTGATGATTTATAGGAGAGAGACACTGGCCTTGCCTCAGTTGGCTTGAGGATGACCTCAGCTCAAGACCTTCCACTCTGGAATTTATACTTTTTGTTTTCAGATGTGCAAGCCTCCTTATGTCTGTTGACCTGTGCACATTGCAAAATCTGTCAGTTCACTGGAGTTTTTCCTCTGGTCTGATGTATTTATGGAATAAAAATGTAACCTTGCAAAACATTAAGAGTTACTTAAAAAAATGTCCTGTCCTTTCCCAAGCCTCTTGTCTCCACATAGTCCTTAAAATATGCTGCTTTCTGACCCCAACAGATAACTGACAAATGCTTATTCCATTCTCAATCCATTTAGGCTCTTAAAGCCAGCAGCTCTTACAGATTATTTTTGTGTTTGAATCATAGAATGAATCATAGAATGATTTGAGTTGGAATGGACCTGAAGGATCATCTAGTTCCAACCCCCCTGCCATGGGCAGGGACACCTTCCACTAGCCCAGGTTGCTCAAAGCCCCGTCCAACCTGGCCTTGAACACTGCCAGGGAGGGGGCAGCCACAGCCTCTCTGGGCAGCCTGGTCCAGTGTCTCACCACCCTCATCATGAAAAAATTCCTTCTTGTGTCCAATCCAAATCTACCCTCTTTCAGTTTAAGTCATTACCCCTTGTCCTATCACTTCATGCCCTTGTAAAAGGTCCCTCCCCATCTTTCCTGTAGCCCCCTTGCAGTACTGGAAGGCCGCTATAAGGTCTCCCTGAAGCCTTCTCTTCTCCAGGCTGAACAACCCCAACTCTCTCAGCCTGTCCTCACAGGGGAGGTGCTCCAGCCCTCTGATCATCTTTGTGGCCTCCTCTGGACTCACCTGAGCAGGTCCGTGTTCTTCTTATGTTGGGGCGACATAGCAGTAGCACTCAAGATGGGGTCTCACAAGAGTGGAGTAGAAGGGGAGAATCCCCTCCCTTGACCTGCTGGCCACATTTCTCTTGATGCAGCCCAGGATATGGTTGTCTTTCTGGGCTGCAAGTGCACACTGCCGAGTCACATTGAGCTTCTCATCAACCAACTCAGCCAAGTCCTACTCCACAGGGCTGTTCTCCATCCACTCTTTACCCAGCCTGTATTTGTGCTTGGGATTGCCCTGACCCATGTGCAGGACCTTGCACTTGGCCTTGCTGAACTTCACAAGATTTGCATGGGCCCGCCTCTCAATCCTGTCCAGGTCCCTCTGGATGGCACACCCCTTCCCTTCAGTGTGTTGACAGCACCACACAGCTTGGTGTCATCAGCAAACTTGCTGAGGGTGCACTCAATCCCACTGTCCATGTTGCCAATAAAGATGTTAAACAGTGCCAGTCCCAACACCGACCCCTGAGGAACACCACTTGTCACTGCTCTCCACTTGGACATCGAGCCATTGACTGCAACTCTGAGTGTAACCATCTGGCCAATTCCTTATCCACTGAGTGGTCCATCCATCAAATCTGTGTCTCTCCAATTTAGAGACAAGGATGTCATGTGACACAGTGTCAGAGGCTTTGCACAAGTCCAGGTGGATGATGTCAGCTGCTCTCCACTTATCCACCAACGCTGTACCCCATGGTAGAAGGCCACCAGATTTGTCAGGCATGATTTGCCCTTAGTGAAGCCACGTTGGCTGTCACAAATCACCTCTGTATTTTCCATGTTTCTTAGCATAGTTTCCAGGAGGATCTGCTTCACGATCTTGCCAGGTATGGAGGTGAGACTGACTGGCCTGTAGTTCCCTGGGTCTTCCTTTTATCCCCTTTTTAAAAATGGGGGGTTTGTTTCCCTTTTTCCAGTCAGCAGGAACTTCACTGGACTGCTACAACTTCCTCAATATGACGAATAGTGGCTTAGCCATTTCATCCACCAGTTCCCTCAGGACCTGTAGATGCATCTCATCAGGTTCCATGGACTTGTGCACCTTCCATGGACTTGTGCACCTTAGATGGTCTCTAACCTGATCTTCTCCAACAGTGGGTGGTTCTTCATTCTCCCAGTCCCCACCTTTACCTTCTGCGAACTGGGTGGTGTGGCTGGAGCACTTGCTGGTGAAGACTGAGGCAAAAAAGCCATTGAATACCTCAGCTTTCTCCAGATCCCGGGTAACCAGGTCTCCTGTTTCCTTCCAGACAGGGCCCACGTTTTCACTAGTCTTCCTTTTATCACCAATGTACCTACAGAAGCTTTTCTTGTTGCCCTTTATGTCCATGGCCAGATTTCATTCTGTCGGGACTTTGGCTATCCTAACCTGATCCCTGACAACTTCTCTATATCACTCCCAGGCTACCTGTCCTTGCTTCCACCCTCTGTAGGCTTCCTTTTTGTGTTTGAGCTTGTCCAGGAGCTCCTCGTTCATCCATGCAGGGCTCCTGGCATTTTTGCCTGACTTTTGTTGGGAAGCATTGCTCCTGAGCTTGAAGAAGATGATCCCTGAATATTAACCAGCTTTATTGGGCCCCTCTTCTCTCCAGGGCCTTATCCCATGGTACTCAGCCAAGTAGATCCCTGAAGAGGCCAAATTCTGCTCTCCTGAAGTCCAGGGTATTAAGCTTGCTGTGTTCCCTTCTCACTGCTCTAAGGTTCGTGAACTCCACCATTTCATGGTCAATGTAGCCAAGGCTGCCCTTGAGCTTCACATTCCCCACCAGCCCCACCTTGTTGGTGAGAACAAAGTCCAGCATAGCACCTCTCCTCATTGGCTCCTCAATCACTTGGAGAAGGAAGATATCATGAATGTCTCCCAGGAACTTCCTGGATTGCTTATGCACTGCTGTGTTGTCCCTCCAACAGATGGTCACTGAAGTCCCCCATGAGGACCAGGGCTTGTGCATGTGAGACTGCTCCTATCTGTCTACAGAGGGACTCACCTGCTCAGTCTTCTTGGTCAGGCGGCCTATAGCAGACTCCCACTATAACATCACCTGTCACTGCTCCCCCTTTAATCCTGACCCATCAGCTCTGGTCGGCTCCTTATCCATCCCTAGGCAGAGCTCCATGCACTCCACCTGGTCATTGACATGGAGGACGACGCCCCCCTCCTCATCTCCCCTGCCTGTCCTTTCTAAAGAGTCTGTATCCTTCCATTCCAAGACTCCAGTCATAGGAGCCATCCCACCCCATCTCCGTGATACCAATAAGATCATAGCCCCGCAACCATGTGCATTTCTCTAACTCTTCTTGTTTATTCCCTGTACTACATGTGTTTGTATGGAGGCATTTAAGTTGGGCCCCCGATGAAGCTGACTGTCTTGCTGGAGTGGCTACATCCCCTTTGTGCTGCTCTTCAGGTGCTCTCCTGCTGACCCGTGATCGATCCCTCTCCAGGCTCTGGGCATCTAATGCTGCTACTGGCATCAAACTGGTAGGACTGGGATGGAGTGAGGTTCCCCTCCGCCAGCAACCTTAGTGTAAAGCCGTCTTCACCAGCTTGGCAAGCCTGTGACTGAAGGTCTTCCCCTTCCCTGGCAGATGGACACCACCAGCCCCCAGTAGACCAGGTTTCTCAAAGCGAGTCTAAGTAGCTGAATCCCCAGCTGTGGCACCAGTCCTTTTGATCTGCCAGATTTGACTGGCCCTTTCAAACCCCTTCCCTTTGACCTGGGGGGGTTGATGAATCAACTGCCTGTGCTCCAGAGTCCCTTACTGCTGCTCCCAGGGCTCTGTAACCCTTCTTGATACCCCTCAGACTGTTCCTGGCTGTATTCCTGGCGCCCACCTGAAACAGCAGCAGTGGACAACAGTCAGTGGACTGTACAAAGCTCATTAGTCTCTTGGTGACACTGCTGACATGAGCCCCCGATTAGCAGCACCCCTCTCTAGAGTGCATGTCAGGCTGGCCGATGGTGCCTCTGTACCTCTCAGAAGAGTCACCTGCTACTGGCACCCGCTGCCTTTTCTCAGTTGCGCTGGGTGTCACACAGGGAGCAGACCGGGCTGCCTTACTCAGCTCCAGCATCCCCCTTCAGCAGCTCCATCTGGGTGGAGGCATCGGCCACCGCTGTGGTGGATGGTGCAGACCCTCCAACCAGAGCTGCAGCATTTGCTCTCAGACGAGTGCCCGTCTTCCTGCCCTGAGGGTCTGGTAGGATGAGAGCCCTTGGCCTGTGCAAATGGTCACAGAACGGTGCCCTGTTGCTGGGTTATGTGGACTTCAGGTCTCTCCACTCGGCCAGTGGAATGTCCCTCCTTCAAAGAGGTGTCCTCCTGCGCAAACTGCCGCGCCATGTCCTGGTGGCTGGCACTGCCTGGGGCTGCCCGTTGTGGGAGTCGGGGGTAGCCGTTGTTATTCCTGGCTCTGCCCATGCCTTATCAGCCACTCACTCTCGTGAGAGCTGCCAGCTCCTAGCAGGTCTCTGAGCTCCCCTGGATTTCCCTGGCTTAGAAAACTCCCCCTGTACACTGCAATCCCCATCTCCACTGCAGAATGTGCCTGCACCAGAGCTGATCGCCATGAAATAGATTAGCTAATCCCTCTGTCTGACATTTGCAAGGTGCCTTCAATAAACCACCATTCTTAGAACGTTCCCAGACTCAGACTTTATGGTACTGAGTACCGTGGCTTAGTGCCAGAGGTAAAGAACACGGTGAACATTAGTGACTGCTACTACAGGGAAAGAAAACCTCCAAGTTAATGGTAATAACAGCTACTAGTCTATTACTCACACTCTAAACTCAAAATCTAGAACACATACCAAATATTAAGAGACATGGAACTGCCTCTCTGCATACACAACCCTTCAAGATAGAAACCAAAAAGGCCTGGACTTCTTGTCACAAGTCAGAAAGCAATCCACTCCTCCTGCTTCATTATAGTCTGTTGCTACATAAAGGTGTCTCAGGTACTCATGGCAAGAAGTGGCTGAGCTCCAGACAAGAAACTGCAAGGAAATAAAGGCAGTTAGAAAGTGCCCACAAGCAGCATTGGTTGCCTGAGGTAACTACTTGGGAGTGGAGCAGTAGGTAGCTTGCTTCCACCCTCCAGTACTTAAAGCCTCTCCAAGTTTTATACAGAAGAGACAGAAATAACAAGAAAAACATTAATTGAAGTTTCTGCTACCTTTCAGTCTGTGTGTTCATGTTCTTTACTTCACCTCCAGCATCTGGCCTCAGGTGATCAGAAGTGCCAACCTGCTCTGCAGAAAGACACTGCGCAAGAGAATAAGAAACGTTACACAACAAATACCAATTTCATGTCAGTGTATGAACCTCGGTTCAACCACAACATGCAGAAGTGCAACCAGTGTTACTCTCAGTCTAGCAGCTCTGAGAGAAAGTACTACTTCTCCAGGAACATTCCCCATCCTAGGATGGTCTGTCACATACCAGGTAAGAGTTGCTGAGGGACCACAGATAGCCTGGACAACTGCTCTGGCAAGACCAAATCAGTTCTGAATAAAACTGAATTTTTTGCATCTCAGAAGAGATGCCTTTGAAGGAACAAACCAAGACTCCTCCTTTCAGATTGATGACCCAGCATATAATTACACAATTCTGTGTCTGTGCATGCACATGTATACATATATATATATATATATATATATAAAAAATCTACTTAAAATAGAAATATAGAACACATGCAAAATTTGTGTGTGTATCTCTATTCTTCTAGAACCTGGTAAAAAAGACAAGCTGACCACAGCCAGCAAAGATCAAAGTCTTACATGGCTTAGTCAGATTAACATGGTGGATATCTTTGTACTCTCCGCAGAGTAATGTTTAGCTGTGATTACATTCTGCTTACTATTTGTCTGATGTCATGTACTAAATAGAATCAAAGTTCTGAAAATCCTCATTAATTACTTAATAGCACTGCTTCTTTGCCATGTTAAATCCTATTTTAGTTACTTTAATGATAATAATAGTGGTTGTTTATTAAATTCCTTTTACCCTGGCTAAGAAAGGAGATTCTAGCTCTTCATTAAATGTTGTGACTCTTGTTGAAAGCCACAAGCTTTTTAAGGCAGGCACAAGAATGACAGTTGTCTCCTGATTGCTAAATGAGTGTGCTTCACCCTACCTGGCCACTCTCCAAATTTTATGTGGAACATCATCACTGTTGAGTTAGTGGTTGATCACACTGTCCTCTGTAGCAGACTGCTAACTACTCTCTGCCATCTATTCAAGCATGCCAAGTTTACTCCCTGTTTACACAGCATTCCATAAGCCCTGCATTATTAGATACAAATTTCAGGTTTGATACCTCTGCTTTCCATTCTTCCAGCACAGACTCTCCCTGGAGATCACTTGTTAACTGGGCATGTTTATCATGTTTATTGTAGTAAAGACTGTATCCTTTGTTGGTTTGTGGGGTTTTTTTTTGTTTTTCTTTTTTCTTTTTTTCCCCCCAGGATTAAACAACGCTCTTATCTGTGTTGTAAGAAACAGCTTTTCAAGAGAACACCCATCCACTGGCAACACAGTTGTCCTCGAGCAAGAAGTTCATCAAGAACATGTGATAACTGGGAGTGCCAAAAGCAACACATCTGCCAACTGCTACCTTCCAAAGCTCGAGGGTTTCATGCAAAGGGAGCTAGGCACTTCACAGTTTGTGATAGGTGGGTAGAGGCAGCAGAGGAATCTGAGCTGTTAAAGGTGCAGCTGGGTCTCAGCCAGCTCAGGTCCAGGTAAAGGGAACATAGGGCAATGAATGTACAATTAAAAAACAAGTATTTCTTCCCTTCTCTATGTGTTTGTCAGCACATCTTACAAGATTTCTCCTCTCTAACTACCCTTGAATCTTTATAGCTTTTAAACATTATATGCTCACCAGGCATCTAATAATGTCACAATTACCAGCAATTATTCTGTAGTATTAGTTACACAGCACTATAAGCATACAACTATGAAATACACTTTCCAGGATTTTCTTCAGATTTCTTAGGCATCTCAGTAAATAACTGCATTAATGTATTATGTGAGGTAGTAAAAGCAAACATAAAAGGAAAGAAATACACCTCTGACTTGAGCAACCTTGTCCAGTGGAAGGTATCCCTGCCCATAACAGGGGGGTTGGAACTAGATTATCTTTAAGGTCCCTTCCAAGCCAAAACATTCCATGATTCTAGGATTCTGCGATTCTATATCTAAAATATGGCTTGTGCATTTTTGTAAATAAAAATGCGCCCCACCCTAATAGTGTATCTTATGGCCTTTATTTTTCAACTTGAGAAAACACTGTGCCTATTGATTTCCAGGACATGCAGATGTTCCTGAGAGGATTAAAACCAGCCCTACTTCATCTGAAAAGGTAAGGAGAAAAAAAGACACAGCTCTTTATTTTGGCACTCTCCCTCTATCACTTCTCAACACTGTAACCTGAATTGACAGTCTCATATAGCTCAGATAGGGGGACAGTGCAGAACCAAAAAGAGGGATGTGAGGATCCCATGTGTAGGACACAAGAACTTGGAAGGGATGGTGTCAAATAGAGCGATAACTAAGTTATAACTGTATCACTTTCAGCTCTGTAATGTTACTGTGCTTTGCTGGCAAGAAAAATGGTCAAACCCCATGAAGATGGGAATAAAATTCACTTTGTTTCAAACTGCTGGGAAAAAAATGTCACACAACAAATAAGCACAAAAAAAGCCTCCTCCCCTCACCACACAAAGATTCTTTAGATTACTTACTGCTAACAGTTTTACTTTTGCTGACATTGTTTTGTAGAAGTATCACACTGGCTTTAGATTCAACTTTGCAGCTGTATTCATAAATTCCAGTAATACTTTTTTTTTTTTTTTTTGCAATAACTCTTTAGTCTCAAGGTGCAGGCTACCTAGTTACTCATCTCCTCCACTACAACTGTACAGGAGCTGAGAGCTAAGTTAATACTCCATTACAAACAGTATCACAAGGAGGTGCACACTCTTGAGAAAACGGATATCTAAGTGTTGCTGCACTGGTACCGGACAGCAGAGGGCATTACTAAGACGTTTTGCAGTAAAGATGCTAAAAATAAGGCCTAACTTTTCTCCTAACCTTTCTATTTTAACTGGGGGGCAGGGGGAGTGGGATGTGGAGTTGTGTGTGTATGTCTTTGTCTAAATGTTGCTCTTTGGTTCCTGAGCTGGGTATTAGTAAAGACCACGCTTAACTTTTACTGTTCACTTATACATGTAGAACATGGTTCTTCAAACTGTATTTATGGTGGTTTGGCTGCAAAATAACTATATAATGGACAGATACTGCCATATAGCCACACTCAGTAAACTATTGTTTCTCAATAGCTGTTAGCTGCCTTTTGTTTTTCCTCTGCATTTACAAACAGAACTTTCTGCCAATCACATTTTGATTTTTGGCCCTTTAATAGACTGGTGGAGACTGCATGCAGAGAAATGCAGAGTAGCAGCTCAGCAGCACACTGCAAACCCATGATGGAAGAGCAAACAGACCACAGAGGCCTAGATTTAATCCCTTTCTCATCTGATTTCCATCAGTAGTTACCCAGTATCACTTGCATTCTCATCCAATGTTACACATTATGCCATGGCTATCTATTATTATGCTTGGTGACTGTATATTAGAAGCTGTAACAATTAACCTACGCAGTTAACCTACAGGTGGTCATATTCAACTGAGTAAGTTTTAGATGTGTTTTCTGCTGCACACCCTTTCTGTTAGCCATATACTTCACATTGCCTTTAACTGCTGCTTAAATAGAGTCAAGACATTCCTTTACACACTGTTTTCTATTTTGGAAAAGCTTTTGAAAAAAGAATTCCAAGCCTTTGCACAACCTGCAGATAGAGAGGGAATCCATGTCACACCTCTCACCCAGCCTTCCTCTCCATTCAACAACTCGCATTACAGTCCTCGCACCCAGAACAGGAATTCTGACCTGAGCTACCTGGATCAGAAAATAAAAGTAAGACGAGTGCTACAGTGTATGCTTTCCTATGATGTTACACATTTTTATTTCTCTTAAGGATGGTGTGGGACTTTATTGATCAGATGCCCTCCCCCCTGCTGCCTCAGTGTTGTGGAGTCTAGAGACTTTTGTATTTAGCATTTACTCTTGAGCTGCTTTCACCTAACTGGAAGCTGCTATTTGCAGTCACTGGGGAAGCAATGCAGCTGGTTCACAGGCTGAAACTTGTTGCCTAAAAAACAGCCTGCAAATATTAAATGTCACTCGCAGGGGGCTTTATATGTAGTAAACACTGCTTAGGATTGCCTTTCTGCGTCTCTGAAGTGCTGTGTACACAGCACTTGCTCAACATCACCTTCTGCAGACTGGTGTCTCTAGCTCACACTGTGGCAAAACTGATGGGACATCTTAGGCTAGGCAATTTGCACAGCTGTAAAACTGCACACTCACACAGCTGCAACTAAACTAAAACAGGCAAAAAACTGGTGTCAGTCAGCTGCTCTTCCTTCACAGTAACTATCTTGTACGTTTTCCAGGTGCTGGAAAAACTCAGCAAAATTTTGCAGACAGATTCACTTATTGAGATCAAAAAATGGCTCACAAGGGCAAGTAAAAAAGGTAACAAACATATGCATCTGCATCCCTTTCTGAAAAGCACACGCTCTTATAAATTCACATAAACCCCTGCAGTTCTCACTGACCTGAACTGAGTGGGGTTGCTGAGGTAGAAGGAACTGGATCCAGTGAAGGGTGCGTGGCCCAGCTGTGGCTGTGCTGAGCAGTTAGGTGACAGTACACTAAAATTTGTCACTCTGATCTCAGCGCACTAACATTTGGTGCAAGGTGGAAAAAGGGGCTCTCCCAGTGGGGCTCTGGGCTGCTGTGGGAAGGCAGAAAGCAAATGAAACATGTCTCTCATGTCCTTAAGCCCTCTGTAAATGTGGTAAGGGAACTCCTGAATGCAGCCCTAAACACCCAGATGAGCAAGTGGAAACTTTAGTAAAATTTCTGCTCCTTTCACATTTCAGAGAAAGACTTCATATCCAGTGTGATTGATTCAGAACTGAGTGACAAAGGCGTGGTGAATTCTAAGGAAGATACAGCAGAGCACATGAATAGCCCGAGTCTGCCACAGCTTCCCTCTCCTCTTCAGAGAGGTCCAAAAGAGGAAATTAATCAGTCCAGGTAAAATCTGCAGTAAGCTTGCTAGGATTAGGGATAAACTAAACCTCATAACCAGAAATTTTTGTTTTCTCCTCCCATGAAAAGTGCAACTTTGTGATTCAAGTTTATCACTCACAGCCTTAATCAAAAATGCTCCTAACTACAAACCACCCCACAGTCTTTGAAACCTAATTAATTATTACAGGAACATCACAAAGTTATAGGAGCACTTGAAACCGCTCTGAGAAAAACCTTCTATATTTTGCAGTGCACAGTTTATGTCAATTGTAATGTTAGACATTCGTTCTTTTTCACTCAGGTCTTCGTCTAAACAATCAGTGGCGAGTCGAAACATGAAACAGGGTAAGTAATGGAAATCATAAATGTTAAGAGAACATGTGCCTAGTATGGTAGTCACCAAACAGCACAATGACTGTGAACATTCAGAGGCTCTAACTATTGTTTTTGCAGCAGGACCCAAATTATAACAATAGAATTCAGTGACAATATGAGAAATGACATTAAAAACCTGAATTTAAATTCTGTAAGAGCTAGATAACCAACACCACCTGTTCTTGTGGCTACTCAATTGGTTTATCTTGATATGACATTCATGTAAATCTTTTCCTATGTGGTGCAACTCAGACATAGAGATGTGTACAACTGCATCTGCCTCTTCCTAGAAAGAACAAAGGAGCAAGAGGTACCGACTTCATCTCTTCACTAAAATCTGTGAAGCTCAAGCTTCTTCTAGTAATGAACTTTAGGATTCACCCTAACCTATCTTACCTCCCTCACTCTTTGCAGGCAAAATCGGGCTTTCTGACTTTTTCAGCTCCCAAAGCCCACTTTTGAATACCCAGTCAGGACAAATCAACAATAATGGCACTCCCAAGTATTACCTCTTTGTGCCCCTTCTGAAGCACACAGAGGCAACAAAAATCAGTCCCAGGGTATGTTATCATTTTAACAAAGCCATTCATGCCAGCTCTAACGCTACCAGCATTTACTATTGTTTGTAACTCTACTGGAGGAGTGGGTGAAGAGTAATCTTACATTAGAACAAGAAGGAAAAAGAAGCAGCCTCCAAAGCAGCAATCTCTGCTTTTCAAAATGGTATCCAGGGAGGCTTCTTTGCTAAAGGGTGGATGTGCTTCTACACTTTCAGCTGTGTATAGAACAAAGCCAAACCAGTCTAACATAATCCTACACGTAGCCTGCTTTCTTTTTCAAACTGTTTTCCAGAAAGGGAAAGAATGTCTTTGCCCTCAGTGCTGAGAACAGGTCAGCCCACGCAAACACAGTTCCCAGGGAAAAACTGCAACTGAGAAAGTGCTATGGAAACAAGAGGCCATCCCGCCTTCACACTGTCAGAAGTCTCATGTGTGCCACAGCCACCCCTCTACAACAGAAATCACCTTTCCAGTCATGGCCCCTCTATTCAGAGCCATTGAAGCCTCTCCAAGTCATGTTCACATACAGATGTCATCTTAACATTTATTATAAAGTTATCTGTTCAGTCTCCTATTAAAGTAATTTTATGCTCACTATATTTAGTCCTCAAATGATTCAACCAAACCATGCTGCATAGGTACACGAGAAGTCAGCTAAATGAAAAAAAGGCCAGAGGCAACATTTTTTGGCATCAGATTCATCTCTTTGCATGACTCAGCCAGGCCTGCACAAATTGCTCTTGCATGCAGATTTGACTCTACGGTCACAGAAATACTGGGGTAAGAAGAGGGGCACACCACGCACACATTATTTGCAGAGATGCACATCAAGCCCTGGACACTGGGGAAAAAAAAAAGACCCTGGATTTTCAAAATCTGGCCTGTAGACTGACTGCAGATATTTGCCTCACAGCAAGCTAGAATTTGCTTTCATAGTTCTCATTATGAGCAGAGAAGCATCACAAATATTAGTATCCAGTTGAGGAGGGGGAGGAGGCGGGACACCAACAGGATGATACAACAGCAAACAAACACTAAAACCACCATGCAAACCTCAACCTGTTGAAATAGAGGCCAACAATGACAGAAATGTATCTGGCTCTTTTTCAGGACTTGTGAGTGAACTGTAAAAACAGAAGAATTGGGGTTTATCTGTTTTAAACATACCTGTGTCAATTTATTCTCACAAAACCAAAGGTGATAAATTGACCCTACTTTCTGTAGGCAGGCTCATTCAAAACATCTGGCTGTCTGAGGGGGGAGGAGAGAAATCCTGCTAGCACAGCATTAAAGAAAGGAGCTGAGCTCAGCGCAGAGCTCAATGTACTCTTTCCAAGAGCCCCTGCCCTCACTTCAAATCATGTCTACTGTAGTAGCAACTACCTCTCCCATTTCCTACTGTGGGAGAGGAGTATGCTAAGACCTGAGGGACAATTTCAGCCCAGCTTTCTTTTGGTGCTTGCTCACTGCTGCACATGCCCAGCTGTGCTAGAGCACCGGGTGAAGCAGGCTGGTGGGCATGAAGTAACCTGTAGCCACAGATCAACGACCAGAGTGTTTGTGAACACACCAGAGCGGTCATTACTCAGGTCCACTTGCCAACTTGGACCACAGATGCAAAAACTCACTTGTACACAAGTATTTAAATGAGTATGAATTTCCCTGATATGTATGAGCCTGCAGGCCACAGTAAATGGGAGCGGAGAGGAACTAGCAGTGCTTTGAAACTTCTCTTGTGTCTTAGATGTAAACACTACAAATTCAGCTGGAAACCAAACGAACTGGAAGCCAAACAGCAGGGTGGACTACACACTGACTGAGCTGTGATAATGACTTCTTGAATGGGCCAGATACTTGACCAAATGCTTTTGGGACACACTCGGATTGCTTTAATTCCATATAAATCTCTGTCCTGAGTGTTTCTTATCAGCTGTCTCCCAGCATCATGCTGCATTAGCTGAGCTTGAAAAACTTAATTAAGTCTCAGAGGCTCACTAGTGAACAGCATCAAAATGAAAGCAACCATGTTAACATAGTCTTTCAACAGCATGGTTACATTTCCTCCATTAAGTCAGCAGGTTACTGAGCAAACATGTTTGAGTCAGAAGGGCGATAGCTTGCAAGGACAGTTACAATCAATTGCATCTTCCAAATCATCTGTTACTGTACTTGCTAGATGTCTGAAAACAAAGGTCCCTCAAGGGTACTTCACCCATCCTAGTAGTAAAGGAAGAACAAGGTTATGTTCAATGTGTGAATCTCAAGATCAGAATGAAACTGGTCTATGTCAGGAAGTGTCTCAAATACATAGTAACCTGTCGATCCAGCTTGAACTTTGCCATTCCCCAATACAGATGTTGCCCAGTCAAGTTTTCATCCTAAACTTAAGTTGGGCATGTGTCCTCCAACGCCCTCCTCGATCCCACCTGCCTGCTTTACCAGTGACCTAGATTCTCTAGCAGGAGAAGCTGAAGCAGATTCTTACAATCACGTCAGGGTGCAGCAGGGATGAAGAAACTCTTAAGACTACTCTGGCAAGGCAGCTGCATTTCTATGTCCTCTAATAAAATTAGATGTCCCATCTTCTGAACTATCATTTGTCCCTACCCCCAGCAGCTGGGAGTCTGCGGTCTTTATGATCTGTCTGCTGTTAATGAGAAGGTTCAGACAGTGCAGCAATTTAAATGGTTATGCATCCACGTCAAGCATTTAGAAATACTGTGAAGTGCCCAGCTTGCAAACCAATATTCCTCTGCAAGTATTTATCGTTCTTCAGAGAGGTTATCCTGTTACTGCAGATCTGGTCCATTCAATAAATATGTAAAATCTTTGCATTGTGCAGTGAACGGAGAAGTAAGTATGGGTTAAACGCTTTATCATGATAACTAAACATGGGCAAGTTTTTAGAGCTTTCAGAAAAAAAACAAAGAGCTGAGGTAGCTCTGCTGCCTTTTAAAACAAATTCATTAAGCAGTTAGAAAAAAAATAAAATGCATTGGAATAACATTGACTACTGTCAACTCAAATGTGTAACTTACTCACTGTAGGTAAGTAAAGTAACACTTTAATTCTATCTGACAACAGCAGGAAGCCAAAAGAAAAACACTAACAGCATCCTCCAAAGAAAATAAATCATGTCACACACCTGGACTGCACAATTTAATCAGAGTGAACTGTCTTCCCCAACCTGTCCTCACTAGTTTTATACTAAACGCCAGGAAAAAATATACAGCAGATATTCCCTGCATCAAGATAAGAAAAGATTAAAAATTCTGAAAAGCAAAGGCCAGATGCAGGATGCCTAGAGGCCCCTCACTACAGTTAAATGAACTTGAAAGCCACACTCAGACTCCCATAATTTCTCACAAATCCCACGATACAGATTTCTGGTCACTTGACTGTTTTTAAACAGTAGCCCATTGCTGCAGAGATAGGAGGTACTACTTAGGAAGTCCGTGCCCTTCTTCACAGAGGCAGCCAGGGATACTCAGGAGTTTAAAAAAAAAAAAAAATGACAGCGCATGTGAAATACATCAATGTATTTCAGGATCAGAGTGAAATACAGCACACAACCAAGACCACTCAGGATGCCTTTCCCAGGGATGTCAGCAAATGGCCAGCCTACAGCCTCCAAAAAGACTCTGGAAAGACAGGAGGACTATCTCCCCGGTCTGCCATGAGGAGTTGCATCATCATGGCAGGGACTGGAGGTGTCACAAAAGCACAAGCCATCTTGCTTTTACAAGCTGCTCTCTTAAACACAGGTTTCAGTTTCTTGTACTTGATCTGATGCTGGGGTGATTTTCACATGCTCCAACCAATTCAACCATTTTCATCAATAATTTCACATTGAACTCATTGCAAGAATGTCCCTTCAGGGCTTCTTGAACCACCACTTCTCCCTGAGGACTTCCGCATAGCTGCAGCCTCCTGCCTGAAAGCAAATCACCACTTTAGTATGATCATACCTGGTGCTGGTGATTCCACCAATGAGCAGCCAAGCATCTAAATGGTTTAGAAAAGTGTTAGAAATCTCATTGGGTGATGATGAGATGAGGCCAAGAACAGCCTTTTCCAGCCGGCTGCAGACATGCAGGATACTGAAAGGCTGAGGACAGCAGCAGCAGTCAGAGGGCTGTGCCTGTCGAAACCCCAGTCTACTCCTGCTTACTGCTCCATCTCATCAGTTAACACATCCTGAAGACAGCATCCTATAGAGACAACCCATGACAATAGGAACTTCAGTCTAGTATGACCCGATTAGCTTAGCACAGAGAAAAGGTAAACAGCAGCAATGCCAACTACTGGCTAAAGCACCAGTGAGAAGACGACCAGGTGATTGAGACAAGCAACACATTCGAACAGGAAACCTAGTCACCAAGCTGCTGAGACACCCTTGAGTTAGCACTAGGAGCCTGCCAAGAGCAACATACCAGACCATCTTTTTCTTCTATTTCTCCATAGACAGGTAAGCTTCAGATCTGCAACAGCTTGATTTAAAAATATGCACAAGCACATGGGTGTGTGTGTTTATCTAGCTTCACTGTTAAAGATGTAAGCCACAAACCAACACCCTAAGATGCTTTTGGACCCTTTCAGAACATGTCCAAAGTCCTCAGTTTGTCTGTGTGATCTGCTCTTGTACTCTCAAGTCTGAGTAAATGAGGCACATGTATGAAAGGGTCATAGGAAAACCTTAGAGAAACTGAAGTCTTAGATCAGGTCTAATAGGTGCTATGCGCATTAACATGCAGAACCTCAGCCATATAGATCTAACTCCTTGTAATTTCACGGCTTTACACATTTATATCAGAGAATCAGTGTAATACATGGTGGGTCTACTTATGCTGCGCTTTTTTTACAGAAATAAAAAGAGCATCGCTTTTATGAAAAAGCTGATCTAGTTTCTGGAACAAAAGCAATCACATTTTTGTAAAGCCTAACAAAAAAAGCCCACATTACTTGAGCAACAGACCAGAATCCATACTTTTAACAGAAGAAACTTCTCTATGGTTATTTTAAAAAGTATAGAGAAAAGTGCACTGAGTGTATAAAGTCATAACCAGATTGTTGCCAATCCTTTACAGACCATAGGGACCTGCAGGGATACCACTTCTAGTGTTCATTTGAAAGCAGTAACAACAGAGGGAGGAATAAAAACAGATACAAGCCAAGGCATTCTTGGATCAGCCCTCTAATTCCAGCTCAGCAGAGTTACGATGACGTGTTCTTATGCTCTTCAGCTGACCTGTGCGAAAGCTGTACTTGTTCAGAAACTGCAGCTACCTGGCTAGCCCCTACAGAAGAAAGGGATGGAGCAGGCTCACAGCGGTGAAGTGAAGCCACACTTCCAAGGTGTCCATTTCGGTACTTTGCAAAAACACTTAAGTCCATTAGAAATAAGATGAATCAGAACATCCAGCTACGACTGAGACTATGAAATTTTTCTTTTACAGAGAAAAATATTTGTCACACAATACAACACAACAGCATCATGTGATAAAACAGGCACACTGAAACTGAATAAGTGACTTGTAAGAATTAGTTCCTGTCTCCTG